AAAATGGAACAGAAGAGAGATTGCAGATCACTTCCTGCAGCACACTTCTGCATGTGCAGATTGAACTTCAAGAATTAGGAAGAAACGCACAACCCATCTGATGACCAGAAATCACTGCAGGGGCACAGGAAACATGAGAAAACAAGAAAATACCTCTCCTCCAAGGGAAAAGAATAACTCCTCTTCATCCACAGACAGTACAATGAAACTCAGGGAAATGTCATATAAAGAATCTAGAATATTCATAGTGACAAAGCTAATAGAGATGCAAGAGAAAAGAGACAATGAACTCCAGAAGACACAGGAGAAAAGAGCTGATGATTTCCAGGAGATGAGGAAGTTCTTACACAATCTGAAAGAGGAAATACATATAATAAAAAAGAATCAGAGTTGTTAGAGATGAAGGCTGTAATACAGGAAATCAAAACCTCTCTTGAAAGTATTAAAAGTAGACTAGATCATACAGAAAATTGAATCTCAGATGTAGAAGATAGAATCACTAGCCTAGAAAAATCCACCATGACGACTGAGAAAATAGCCAAAAAAAAAAGAGAATAGTATACAAGAAATACTAGATACCATTAAACATCTAAACATCCAGATAATTGGTATTCCAGAATATGAAGACTAATAAGGGCACTGATAATCTATTCCATGAAATCCTGGAAGAAAACTTTCTAAACCTAGAGAGGCATTCAAAGATTCAGTCCCAAGAAATACCAAGGACCTCAGTAGAATCAACCCAAGGAGATCTTCTTCAATACACATTATAGCCAGACTGACCAAAACCACAGATAAAGAGATTGGCAAGAGAGAAACATCAAATTACCTACAAAGGATATCCTGTCAGGCTCACAGTGGACCTTTCATCGGAAACAATGCGAGCGAGGAAAGAATGGGAAAATATATTCAAAGTGTTAAGGGAAAATCAATCTCAACCAAGAATACTGTACCTGGCAAGATTATCCTTCATATGGGAAGAAAAAAAAAAGGACATTCTCAGATAAACAAAACCTGAAAGAATTTACCAACACCAGACCAACTCTCCAAGAAGTTATGAAGGGAGTGCTATACCAGGAAAACTAAATATAGACACATAGAAACAAGAATTAAAAAACCCCAAAAATGGCCAACTTAATGGTAGGGACAACTCTGGAGGTGAATGTTATGT